CAATATCATTGAAGAATTTGATACCTAGAGACAGTTTATTGTAAGACGTTGAGGTGATGGTAGTTATGGCTGGGCAACATATAGATAATAAATCAATACTGGATGTGAGACTAGATAGTCAATTTTGGATATCGTAAATATGGTATGAATGTTGTCTTTTTATGGTTTTAAATGCTCCGTTAACCTAAAGTAATGTTATTTTCTTAACTTACCAAACTGTCTCAACCGGTATATTAGTTAAGTCATAATTATATCCCAAAAAACTGATGAATATTATAAAATCTTACTTTGTAAATATATTTGTACGAATATTCAACCACACAATATACTTGCAATATTAATTAAGGTATTTAATCAGAATTAATGTGGTGTTTCCTTTTGTCTATATCGTCCAGCCCTAATTGTAGTTCGACAGTTGTTTATTAAAAACTAAACTTATTTTCAAATAATATTCCAGTGGAAGAATTAACATGTTGTCTATGCCAGGATTAAAAAAATAGAAACCAGGAAGTCATTTTATCTTTGAAGGATGCTCTTTATGTTCTTCCTTTATCTTTATGTTCATCATAGGATTTCTGATCAGATCCAAATAAAACTATTTATTTTTTATATTGGCCCAAAGCAGCCGTACAATGTAAGAATATATAGCATGTTAGAATTGTTTTACAAATTCTAGGCTGTCAACCATGTGAGGAGAGTAAAAAAAAAGTAGAAAAGGACAGCTTTGTTTTCATTTGGGCTGTTATCAGCAGAAGCCGACTGCAGCGAGAATAGGAGGGGTGATTTCCATAAAGACTGGCTGTTGTCTGAAAGCAAGCAGCTGTCAGGTGGAATTACCTCTCCATCACAGACACCACAATCGAGGGCGCCCTTCCCATAATTCAGTCTGATTGGCTCAAGGGGAAAATGGCAGCCTGCGGAGAGTGAGGCGAGCGGCTGGTTGACAGGTTTGCATCTGCGAAGCTCAACGCAGCGTTTACCTGTTATCATTCTGTCTGCTCAACGTGTCAGTTTTCACAGTTCGGAAAGCTACCTGAACAAAGTGACATGGAGAATGGAGTGCACAGTGTGAGGAGGCAAATGCGTGCCTACACTCAAATGTGACACACACACACACACACACACACACACACACACACACACACACACACACACACACACACACACACACACACACACACACACACACACACACACACACACACACACACACACACACACACACACACACACACACACACACACACACACACACACACACACACCACACACACACACACACACACACACACACACACACACACACACAACCTAACACACAGGGAACATTGTTCACAAAAGCCTAATGTGCTAATGTCAGTGATGTATAGTTCCTGAGAACTGAAAGGCATTATATTTCCTTTTTGCCATGTCTTCATGCACAGTGGGTTGCTATGAATTTTTTGAATTGAAAGATTGACCTTACAGTCTGACTGACAGTGAGTTATTCTATCTGCTTGTCTCAGCTAAAACTGCAACATTCTGCATTGTGTGCACACTGAGGAGCGCTGTAAGTGCCAATCTGCATGTGTGCATATACTGCATGCATCTGTGTGAGCAGCTGCAACCCTGCATGTGCATTTACACTTGTGTATGTGATGCATGCATGACATGTGTATAGATCCATAAGTGAGAACTGTTCTCTGTGTGTTGAACACACACACACACACACACACACACACACACACACACACACACACACACACACACACACACACACACACACACACACACACACACACACACACACACACACACACACACACACACACACACACACACACACACACACACACACACACACACACACACACACACACACACACACACACACACACACACACATCCTTTTTGTAAATGCGCTTATTTTCCTTTTTGCCAAAGTTAGATCAGAACATCAATACCACTCTAATGTCTTGGCTCTAGTTTGGTGCTAAATCTGAGAAGCGATTATATTAGCTTAGCATAAGGACTAGAAAGAGCTAATTTGCTAAACAGGGCTAATCACCTCCTAGAAAAGAGAGTGGCATCAATCTTCTCATCAAATCCTTTCTAACACAATGAATAAACAAACAAAAGCCACTTACAAAAGCTCCAATAAATTATTCATCATTTCTAACAAGAATACAAATGTGTCATATTAATAACACAATGTGGTTATACTGTCACAATGCTGTCCCGCAAAATTATGTGAACACACAAACAGATACAACAAAGGTGTGGATAAAGTACAAACACCATTCCCAACATTTGTACTTTTGTATTCGTTCACATTAACACAAGCATGTATATAAAATATATACGTATTCACACACATACACACACACAAACTCACACAGATGTACACTGGAATACACATACTCTACACCTGAGCTAAGTGTTCTTATCTGTGACTTGGGTAGAGGTGAGTGACAGAAAGGAAGGCGCAGGGGGGGAAGTGTCCTTTAGGTATCTTAATTATGGCTCCTCTCCTCCCTCTCGCTGTCACCATCCCCGGGGGAGGGCAAGACAAAAGGAAGGCAATGTTTCATCTCTGCTGCCTTGGTATTTCAAATTCCAAGGGGAGTAAAAGGAGAGAGACAGCAGGGTGTTACATTGGAGGAAGAAGAGAAAATCAAGTGACGCTTCGCATTTCCCTCTGTTTCTGTCTTCTTTCCAGCTGTGTTTAAAATAAGGCAACTTAATAAAAGCGTTTTAATGGCGTCAAGGCAAGAAATTACTGTGACGTTTTATTTAATGAGCTCAAAGCCTCTTGCTCTTTGTTTATGACTTTGTTTTGAGGAGATACATGTGACAAAATGTAGCGGAGGGAGTGAGGGAGTGAGGCTAGTCTCATTGCGGTGTTAGCAATCGTCTTTGCGATTCACACCTTCCTCAATGCGCACCGGGGTTGTCCGTCCACCCCCACAAGGGGAACGCTGCTCCGCCATCAGAGGGAGGGGGGTGTCAGAGACACCTTGGCAGGTAGACACAGGCAGCCTGCTGTTAATTATTGATGGGAATAAATTGCACTCATTGGATGTTTGGCAGGGGAACACATGGTGGAGGCGAATACAAATGTGTTTATGAATGTGGTTGCACCGAGATGACAAGAGAAAATGGCATCAAGCTAAAGAGAAGGAGGATGGAGAGGAGGAGGAGGAGCCGATAGAAGGATGGGAGTGATACCTGGTAAAGACACATGAGAGAGACGCAGTCTATAAAAGCCAACGACTCCTAAATGTCTCTCGCAAGTGTGATAAAAGTACAGAACTGCGGCACAGAATGCTGGCCTTTACATTTGTGTGAACAGAACAAGGGGACATTTAAAACTATTATACACAGATGCTAATCGAAAATGATTTTGTGAATGTGCCAGCACGCACTCCTCTGCAAACAAACATACCTAAAAAGGTCAGCTCTTTTGTTTTGGGAGGCAAAACCTCTCTCGTGAAAATATTGACTGAGAAAAGGGGAGCAATGCAAAGTGGGGTCTTAAAATTAGATGGGCAAATATCACCGCTTCTTATCTGTATTCTGAGAGCCTGCCCTCTTATAAATATTGGAAGAAGGACACTAGTGGGGAGAGGAAATGGCCAAATGGTGCATTTCAGAAATGGCACACCTGAGCACCGCGCGAATATCATCTCCTCCTGTCAGATCTCATCCCATTTGATCAAAATAATTGCCACCTTCATCGTTATCATCAATTCTGTCATCCTTACTGGCGCCATCACAGTTCTCCATCTCATCAGGGCTTCTTTGGCTTAAAGGGGGGATTTCTGGATCAAATCAAATGTGGACCATCTCGTCTGAGAAAATCACTCATAGTGTACCCTCATAGTCATCACCATATTCATTGCTCTAATGCTACTGACATTTTGCTCACCTATTTAAATATTCTGACACCAGCAAATCTTCGGCGGGTACAAAAATAGCCTGGTTTAGCTACGCGGGCTCGTCCTTCATAGCTGTCCGGAGAGATGGCCCTGCTGTGCTTTAGTCTACAGTGATTCTCCTTTCAGTCAGCAAGGAAATGAAACATTTAAAAAGTAAAATTAGATAAAGGACAGCTGCCAGCCGGCATATATTTAACAATATAACTGATGTTCTTGTACTAGGACCACAGCTCTTCAGGGGTATTGCTAAAAGCCCAGTTAGCCAGTTTACAATACTACAACTGACAGATAGCGGAATATGCCGGAATCACACACAATACAAGATGTTAAGGTTACAATGTGAAATAAGCACATATCCTGTCAGCGTGTTTTTGCTTTAATTTGGTTCTTTGTCCATCAACCTAGCTCCATTGTGTAACTCACTGTGTATTAATTTAACAGCTTGACTCATCTGCTTCCACTTTAGAAGGCTAATGATATGAACAACACAGGACAAGCGGCCGGTCAAACCTCACAAAGAAACACACACACACACACACACACACACACACACACACACACACACACACACACACACACACACACCACACACACACACACACACACACACACACACACACACACACACACACACACACACACACACACACACACACACACACACACACACACACACACACACACACACACACACACACACACACACACACACACACCACTCGAATCAGGCAACCACATGTAAAAACATAGTCGCTGTATGAGACTACAGTGCGAGTGTCAGTAAAATAAAACAGACCTGCATGCACTCCAGTGGCCCTCCCATATAGTCAACCATACGCAGTTACAAGCCCACATTCATCTTATATTAGAGCGAACAAGTTTGTCATTAAACAGCAAAACACTGCGGAAAATTACTTGTTTATGGATAAAACCAGTTTTGCAGAGCTTTCAGATCCATCAATGTCTATTAAGCGTGTAAGGTGTACAATATTAAATCCCTGGACGGAGCTGAACACGCAGCAAAATGCTCATGATAATGCAGGAGGAAGTGGGGATGCTAACTTGTTTTTAAACACTTCTTACCTTGGCCATTTGGGCCTGCACCCCGGTGGCTTTGAGAGACGACACGGCCTTCTGTGCTGCACCTGGGCTGTCAAAATCCACAAAGCCATAGCCTGCAGAGAGAAAAGAAGAAAGGGAGAGGCAGACAGAAGAAGAAAAGACAGGCATTAGTAAAAAAAAAAAAATAGGCAGATGACTAACAAGGAGAATGACAGGCACTTGGTAATTGTAGCAGTAATAGGTTGGTAACATGACTACGGAGGCTGCCAGTTCTCATATCTAGTGAGCACTACATTGTTTGATAATTAGCGACAGTGACGTTCATAGGGGGAAGCTATGCATCTTAATTAGTAGCATGGATGAGCGATTTTGTAATAACAAACCCCGGCACCCTGCCCACCTCTAACTCCACGCATACTCTGACACACATATGCAAACGCCAACACAGATAAACACACTTCTGCACAAACATGAAACACACATGCACCGGGTGCCGGGCACATTGAGAACCAGAACATCACTGGTGTAATTCCATTGAGAAGACAGATTCATAAACATATCATTAAAGTCCATCATTTATATTTCATGTTAAACTAAATATTACACACGTGTAAACACTCAATTAATTCTTCAGAGAGTTTTCTCTTGTTCAGCCTTTTGATTTTCAGAGACTGCCCACCTCGTGTTCCCCAACACCCGGCGCATTAACACAGCCCCATTTCACATCCGTTATAATCCTCTCCCCGGTGACAAATCTCTCAAAGGTTGACGGCACAACAGAAATGCTGCCATTTCTCTTTGTCTCTCTCAAATCCATTTCTCCTACGAATAAACACTCACTCTGTCCACCTTCCCTCTGTCTCTGTCTCTCTCCAATACAGTCACAATGTCTCTCTCCCTCATATTTTCCCTGACATTAACAAGCACCAGTCCCCATCTGGAAATTCATCACCCGAGGAAAGCGGAGGGAATGAAATTTGTGGCTGTGATTTATGAGTTATTGTGATCCCGACGTTCTCCGGGATGTATCGGAGACGGGGGTCACGTCTGTGTTAATTAAAATTTGGTGGCGGATTAAAAGCAGTCAATGGTGCCCTATGATCCACTGTTTCAGAGGGAAAGTGTAATTAGAAAAGGATAATGGGTGTGAGGTGGGGGCAGACTCGCCGTCGTGGTTTCCCCCATCATGTTAGGAGTGTTTATGTCTTAACACCCGTATGAGCATTCACACAACCGTGTAACACCTTACGGGCTTACCATGCGTTTCTCTCATACCAACATCTCACTTTCCGAGAGATTTGAGGTGTGTGTCTGTGTGGTGGTGGGGGGTTGTGGTCATTTTCCTGTCGGGTGGCGGTGAAGGAGTGTGGAGTAATGTGAAAATCATAACCTGTGGCGGAGGAGAAATCGAGTGCGAGGACTGATTAATGGCCAGCTGTTAGAGTGGGGCTGGGAGGGTCTTAAAGCAGACAAAAAGTAGACTGTATTGATTGATCATTTTTCTTACAAGGTTACATTTAGCTACTGTAGATGTTATTTGATAACTTAAACAAAAGAAAAACTTGATTCACCATTTTTTTTTTAAACAAAGCATACTTTTTTCCCTTGTTGTGTGGTATCTAGCCAGGAAATATTTTAGTGGATTTCTTTGGCCAGGTTTTTAGCTACTGAGATGTCTGCCTTCACGATAATACAAAGAATGTCAATTGAATTTTGGTACGGTGAAATAAAAGCAGTGTGTCTTTTCCGAGACAGTCTCCATGTACCTGTGGCTAATTCACCGACCACACTATGAACCATTTCCTGAGACTACAGGTTGGTGACAAACTACCAACATCAATTGTATTTGTAAGATGTGGGGCCTCCAGAACTACTGCATACACTTTAATATGCCTTGGTAGTTAATGTTAAGTTGGTGGAACTCTACCGAAGGTAAAAAGCTAAATTAATTGTATTTATTTAATAATTGATATGATGCTGGAGTGCTGTGTAAAGGACAATCCATATGCAAAGATTTTATTTGGTGTTGTCTTAAAAAATGTTCTAGAACACTTGAGTAAGGCCAAATGTTAAGCTTTACTAAACAATTGCCTTATATTAAATATATTAAAAAACATTGCTGTTATTTTCCATAAACTCCTCTTTGAGCCAATTTCTGACGGTAGCAGACAAGTACAGTTAGGTTTGAAGATGCTGTCATCTCATTTCCTGTACCCCTTTCCTCCAGAACCTCCCATAGGTTATAGTTAGGCTGGGATGGTGAAGCCTATAGCATATGATTCACACCATGTTTTAATGCTAAGTGGCACCTTTTAGAGAACTCATTTTATATCCAGGACTCTTTATTTCTTCACTCCTCTGTTCACAGGCGGAGTTGGACAGGCCTACTGTTTTTGGGAAGACACTTTGCTGTTGAATCTTTCAAGACCGTTTTAAAGTGAGCCACAAACAAAATTCCATTTTCCTGAGCTGCTCTGAGATGGAAGTAGACAACTCAGAGATGGATCTTTCCAAAATGTATAAAAGAAAACTCCCTGCTTGGCTATTTACCACCAGAGGTAAATGCTTTTTTAGAATGTGGGTAATCTAACCCTTTTTAAACACAATTAAGACAGCTAAAGCATTATCTTTAGATTTAAGAACATATTAAAAGCACATTAAGAGAACCATAGAGATTTTTACCAAGTCCCTCTGAGCAATGGCTGCTTCTCTTTAATAATCAGAATATTCTAATGGTAGATACCTGGGACTCCAAATTACAAATGTAATATTCACCCCGCTCCCACCTGGAGTGCACTCATAAAACTTTCAAAAGGATAAGGATTTTAGAGTATGCTGACCTATATTCAGACAGCTCTGAATGGAGAAAGAGTAGAGGGGGTGGCAGAGAGGAAGAGAGCGGGAGAAAGGGCAAATATAAGAAGGAAATGCTGAGAGAGGAAGGGGGCTATTTGGGCTCAGCAGACTGCATTGGAAATTGTCAGCTGCCTGCAGAACAGATCCAGTTGGCTCCTCCCCTGTGCAGTTATTAGAGCCGATACATGCATAATGATCCTATAATGTTGATGCTGATCTATAGCCAAAGGGTAAAACTGTTAAAGGCTTGTTTTGTTGGGAAAGAAATAACCAAGGGACAAGGAGACAGCGTGAGTGTGTATGTGCTGATCAGGCAGAATGCTTGTGGAGGTTATTGGAAAGTCAGAATATTTGTATGAGATATGAAAGCTTTTGATAATGATGGTACATATTGCACTTTTTCTTTTTTTATGTAAATGGCCAGGAATAGAGTCAGTTTTGTCTAAATGTATTTATGCTGCTTTTTTATATATGTATTGATGTACAGCACTTTGGTCAACTCTGTTGTTTTTAAATGGGCTATATATATATAAAGTTAGATTGGATTGGATTTGGCAATTCTTCTTAGGAGAGACACTTATTTGGTGTTATTGTATAAATAAAGATAATACTACCTGGCCAAGTAAGCATATCTGAATACTATCTGTGGTGAGAGTGAGAACATTTTTTTATAATTATAGTTTTCATGTTGGTTAGAAATTCTGCAGAAGAAAACATTTATTTTGTTTTGTAGAAGTAACAGGGTCGAGACAACATCGCATCTCACCCTTTTAAACAATACATACACACAACTACACACAGGAGACTGTGTTTCTGAAGTACACGCTGTCCTCTTACAAAGCAGGTACTCTAGAGTTACCATCTCAAGTGGGATGCAGAGGGCAAGGTGTTGCTTTGAAGCCTCTGCAACAACACCAACATCCAATCGATAGCCGTCACTTAAAAGTAGCTCAAAGTGACTGACTGCACACGCAGTTGCTGATAATACTGTGTAGCTGCACACTAATGTACACACACACACACACACACACACACACACACACACACACACACACACACACACACACCACACACACACCACACACACACACACACACACACACGACACACACACACACACACACACACACACACACACACACACACCACACACACACACACACACACACACACACACACACACACACACACACACACACACACACACACACACACGAGAGGGATAAAGAGAACATGAGCTGCCATATCATATTTCCTGGTCTGGCTATAACATGGAGCCTGTCAAGATAAAAGGACAATCTTCAATCAGTTACTACTGTACAGGATGATGCTATGCTACCTCTGCTTCTACTCTCCTGAAGCCCCATTGACTGGTTTGTATGATTGTGTGTGTGTGATGCAGGATGTTCCCTTCAGAGGTGTAGAACTACAGTAGATGCCACCTCGGGCTACGCTCTACACAAAAGTATTCAGTGAAGAGTGGAGATAAGGGACTCATTACAGTACGTGCATCGACGTATCAATCAACCATGCATCATTCATGCGCCGTCAAATTATGCTAATCCTAATTACTTCTAGGGAAATTACCATTCTTTATCTGCTAATAGTCTGGATTGTTTGGGGTTTCCTACCCACTATATCCACCACCGTTTCCCCCCAATATTTTAAATTTTTCACATTCTAATATTCGGCGCTAATGATCCCATTTTGCACAGCATACAATGTAATAATAATGCCTTAAGTATGAATAATGAATCAACGACAAGTCACGGAGCATTACAATGGAGGACGGGGCAAACAGTGTAATTGTTTACGTCCTTGTGAGTCATCAAGAGGAGGTCTGAAGCTGCTGTTGCACATGGGTGATTAATCATTGCGATTACACGTATGTTAATAATTCATACTTTGCATGTATAAAAGTAATTATGGTTAATGGGGGATATAGATGCGTCACACCATGGACAAATATGCATAACAATGCCTGTAATATAATTCTTATGATTCATGGTACAGCCATACAACTGCAGCATGTTCCCTCCCACAGTACGTGTTGTTCTGACCTCGTCCTGCCTTACGACTAAAGATGTGTGTAAAAAAAACATATTTGTAATTATTTGTATGTTTAAACTTATACTGCATGTACTATGGTATCTGCTGACATCCTTGGTCAAGGAATACATTTGTGCATACATACAGTAGTACATTATCTGATAAATGTGTTGCGAACAAACTTACTGTGTGTGTTTCAAGGAAAAAG